GGACAGGAGTGGGACATTTGGGATTTTGCTAGAAATAGGAGGCAGAGTGCACAGCTTTAATAGTGGGGAATCCATTGCTTATTCTCCTATGTGGCACTAGAAGGGTTGTCCCTGCTCAACCCCCTCATTTACACACTGCTGAAGCAAAGTGGTGCCTAGATTGAAAATAAATGGAGGGGTTCAGGGAGGGAAAAGTCATTACCACCACTTGCTAAGTTGGCTGTGGTATCTTTTTCCTGTCATAAACTGTTGTGAATTTGAGAGGACTGCTGTGTTTCCTTCCCAGATGTGGTAAAGTTTAGTCAGCAAATGAAATGACCTTTTGTTCAGAACACTCTTTTGAGATGAAAGGCATCAGCAAAGTTGTTGCTGTGTCTCCCGTGACTGCCTTTGTTGAGGAGCTGGACTGTGTGTTCTAAGTCTTCCTGATGCAAAGCCTGGAGTGCTTAGTCTGAGCCAATTTACTCATTCTTCAGCTCTTACATTTTGCCTTTAACTGGCTTCCTACTGCATGTCACATTGCATTCTCCTTTGGCTGGTGGATGTAGAGAGCAAACCTGCCCCTCTGGGCTGCTAAGAGAACTTGTTTGCTTATTAGAGCTGTCTAGTGCAGGGTGGAGGAAGCACCTTGTGCAAGAGAGTGTTGAAGCAGAAGCGTGTCCTTTGCAATGATAATACCTTCTCAGCCTTGCAAGCAACTCCACAGATACTTCTCATCTTTTTCTTTCATTAATGATACATAGGTGCAGAACCTGTGTGAAGATGAAGCTCCTGAAAGACTTTTCTCATCTAGAGCAATGCCCCTAATGCAAGAGGAAATCCTCACCAGCCCTTTTCTTGAGGAACTGTATCATTTGTTGAAGAGTTTAAACATATCACTTGTTTTGTAGATCCTGCACAATTTTGCTGGCTTGTTTTCTTGATTTTCCTAAAAATGACAGGTTGCTATTTAATGTGCTCAGATTGACTTCACAACCTATCTATTCAGTCATCTGCTTTCCTTGATACCGTTTTTGAAAGGATTTCATTTAATGACAGCAATGAGATGGTGCATCTAGGTGATGAGGTAAATTAATGTGAGTATTTCACGGACCATTGCTAGGGAACAAATACTAGCTCCAAAATGCCTAAGTTATGTCTTGGCTCTCTTGTCACTGTATTATTGAGATGGCAGGCCCCAGTTTATTAAGTTGAGCCATACTTTGCCTGTGTTCCTGATAGATTATTTCATGCATTTCCTTGGGAGAATCCTCTAATTGAGCTGCTTGACAAACAGCCATGACAGCTCTGTGGTTGCTCTACTTTTTGGATGTTTCTTGGCCTAAGCCTGCAAAAGGATCAGTGTTGCCTGGTAGTCCTGTCACCTAATGAGCCCAAGAAACAAATCCTATCCCTTGTGTTTGTGTGCTGGCATAGTTACAGGAGCTCCATTATCTTTTGTTTTGGAAAACAAAATTGCAATTTCATCTGGTGTTCTGGTAAAGTTTTGTATTTGGGCTTTTAATAGCGTGTTCAGGCGGGTTTGATGTCCAGCATTGCAGTTTATGATGCCGAGCCAGTTACAGAGTTCCTGCTAAATACAAATCTTTGATGGTCTCAGTGATACTGAAAAATACTGAATTGTCAAAGTTATGTTGTTTTCTGTCACTAGTGTGTACACTGCTCTGTCCTGCTCCATCTGTTACTACCATTAAATGAGATTCAAATGAAATCACTATGAACATGTCACCTTATATTAACAGTGAAATATATTAGGTGTCATGGAAAATAAATGTTTCCAACAAATTTACAGTGTTTGTAGCTCTTGCATCATGAATGCTGAACCTGGGTTGCTTTGGGAGGATTGAGAGTGTATGTGAATAATATGGAGCACTGCAAGAATAAAACATTTGTAAAAGCTTCTATTTTTTTTGCCAGAGTAATATGGAACTCACCTCTTGCCAAGATCAGTATATGTAGCTCTGTGTCTTCCACTGCAGTTACATGAAATGTTAATCCCTGATGCACAACAAAGAACATAACACTCTGTTCAGTACCTAGGGATGCTCTTGCTGTTCACTGTTGCAGCACAAAAGACAGAACCCTGAATTCAAGCTTGCTAGATACTGAGTGTCCTGGGTTGCCTAGAAATGCAGCTCACCCTTTGGAGTGTCTGCCCTGCACATGCTCCTCCTTACCTGTAGTCATGGCACAGGAGGTGCTCTGCAGTTAAGTTCTCATTCTCTTACGTTGTGATACTGACTCTGCTCCTGCCTTAGAAGAATCCTGATTAATCTTCTCAGTAACAAATGTTATTGCTTGCAAAGAATAAAAGTATAAATGCTACAGATCTCTTCTCTTCTGCAGCCTCTTCTTCTACCCTCCTTCCAACTTTGTGTTAAACTGGAATTGCTTGTGCAACTGTGCTGTGAGAAGGGGGATAGTCATCGCTTCACATCAATAGGCTACAGTCTCTGAACAGATCCATTGAGGAGTCCCTGCGCCCACACCTTTCCCTTTGGCCTGCCTTCTCTTATGAAGGTGCTAATCACCCCCTACCTTCATTTACTGTCAAATGGTCTTTAGTGACATTGGAAGAAGAGAAACTGAGCTGTCGGTGCTAATCTCAAACACAAATGTGCAGCTCTTGCCACATTAGTCATGCCTTCGTGACCTCTAGGTTGGATTAGTGCAGTGGTGGTAGGTAGGTGGTAGGTGATATGTGGGTCTACAGGTAAAGACACATGCAGAATAGTGTTGTCTACTTGTTTTAGTGTCACAGGAGAGTATTTTCTAGAGAGATGTCAGTGTTTGAGGGGTGCCCTCAGTCAAGATCCTGTGCTGACTTCTCACAGTGGTCTGCTGGAAGGTGGTTTGGCTGTCAGGCAGCACTTTAAAGCTTACCTGCTGCTCTAAGAGGGTAAGTTGAAAGATTGAATAGGGCTCCAACTTAAGACCTAGTAAGGAAATACATCAAGAGTCCTGCAGCTTTATTTTTCGTTAGTTATTTTTATGTACCAATGATTTTACTATATGGTGCTTGTGTTTAGAGAGATAGCCTTAAAGACATCTGATTGTGGAACATTACATAGTGGAGGTCTTCTGCTCTGATCTCCATATGAATGGTGCAGAGAAGTCCAGCTTCCTTATTAGGGCTAGTCAATCATTTGGTCAAGTACATAATAACCATCTTCTGAGAGGGATATAAGGGGTGAGAGATTAACCCCAGTCTGCATTACAAGTAAGTTTCATGAAGTATTCAGGTTGAATACAGAAGGTCATGGCAATGACAAAATTGGAATATTATGACTGTTATGTTAGGGTGTCCCTGCCCATGGCAGGGGGGTTGGAACTTGATGATCTTAAGATCTTTTCCAACCCTAAGTATTCTATGATTCTGTGATTCTATGATTCTATGACTGAGCCTGTACATGTGAACAGCGTGCAAATCAAAGAGTTAGGAACCGGGGAGGTAAAGCCAGTGTCAGCCCTTGGTTCACCTGTTTGCTGAGCAGCAACTGGGGATAAAAATACACTTTTTAGTGGTTTAGTGGTTTCTGTCCATGAGACTAACTTCTTTCAGACGCCTGGATACCTTTTGGCATGATGGTCCTAAGCCTGTGAGTGGGGTCTTAATCTGCAGCAAGAAGACATACAGAGTGATAGGAAGGGAAAGGCTCAGCAAGTATATTGGTGTTCATGTCCCAATGTAGCTGGTGAATTAGAGCAGTTGTGGATTGTTGGACTTAGTGTGTTGGGTGTTTTGTTTGTTTAAATTTGGCTTTGCCTCTGTGGTATCAGCTCAGCCTTTTGGTCTGACTGCTTTTGGTGTTGTTATGGCCACTGTCTTGGTTTTAGCAAGATTTGTCCTTCAGCGTTCTGACTTCTCCTCTTCTACCTGGCTGCTAAAATACTTTGCTAAGGATACAGAGGTGGTGGGATGCAATAGGCTGTTCATGTGTGGAGACTGAGTTTAAGTGGTAACCCTCTCATTCTGAAAAGATTTCTCTGGTTGAAACTATGAATCAAATTGGTTTGCTCTTTTAGGAAGTAAGAACCTGCTAAAATCCATGCACACTGCTGCAGTTATACTTTGGGATACAGAGCCAAATCAACCAGAAAAGTCTCCTGCTGCATCTTTGCCAGGTCCTCTAGCTACTTGAAGTGGATCACACTTCAAGTAACATGCTGTTCTGCCAGCCTTCTGCAGAAAACTGCTCTTGTCCCTCTAGCATTGTAGCAAGACAAGGTCCATCCTGACAGGTTCAGACATGGTCTTGAACACTGTGTGTTCCTCTGATCTGTAGGGAGCCTCCTCTGCTCATGCTGCCCTGTTCTGGGACTTCCACCAAAGAGGAAATGTGTGCTAGAAACAGATGTGGTTGCACAAATCTGTTCAAGCAAACTGTGTTGAAATCTGCTCTTACAAATCAATTAGGAAGGTGAGGAAGCTCACCTGCGTTAGAGAAAAGCCACGGCTCTTCAGGGCAGAAATGACTGCACATTTTTGGAGGAAGTCAACTTACTGTGCTTATGGCCCTCAAGCGAGGGAAGAATTAGTTTCCTACTTTGAACCCTCTACTGAGGGTTCATTTTTATAAGACTTCAGGAGAAGTCTTATAAAAATGTCTGGCTAAGTTATGCCCTCAATTTAGTAATGAAAACCACTTATTAGTGGTGTTTAAGCATCTTGAATAGCACTTAGCTTGTAGTAGAGAAACTGGTACACGTTGGATCTATGGCTACTTCTCTCACTTTTTTTTATTTATTATTTTTCTTCCTCCTCATAGTTTTCTCTCTTGCAGTATTTTGTTATTTATGTGTTAAGTAATGAAACAAAGATTGTACTCTCTAAAAATAGAGCGTTTAAGGGCTCCTGCTCCAATGAGATTACAAATTACTGGGAAATAGTGGTTTTACTACTTCTAGCTTTCTGCAGTGAGATTTCCAATCTTATTCTATGCTGTCCTGGTAATTCCTTTGTTAACTGTGTGGTTTTTTTTCTCTATTCTCCTGCCTAGCCGTCTGCAGAGGGCGTGTTGTGAGGGTTCCCAAAGGTCCTCTTATTCGAGTCGTGGGAACGGAGGTTGAGATCCCTTGCAGTGTTAGTGACTACGATGGACCCAGTGAACAGAACTTTGACTGGGAATTCTCCCAGGAGACTGACTTCCTACGGATAGTGAGTACCTGGGATTCTACATTCACCTCTGAGGAGTACCAAAACCGCGTAGGCTACGGGGATATCAAACTGAGACGGATCAGCAATGATGCTGTGGAACTTGTGATTAGAAACATCCAGCCAACTGATCAAGGGAGATATAAATGCTCCACACCCAGCACTGATGCCACCGTTCAGGGAAATTATGATGCGGAGGTCCAAGTGAAAGGTATTTCTGAAGAGTGAGGTGTGCTCTAAATTTGTTTTTGATATTGATTATAGATGTGCTCTAAAGAATGTTGAACTTCTGTTGCTTATGAGCATTGTGATTATTTTTTTCCTCCTCTTCTTGTTTCTGTTTAATTCTTCTAAAGCCAGTATCAAAAGTTGGGAAGTGTGATAGCAAAGGCAAGTGAGGTGAAGAAACAAAGAGAGGCTGTTTACTATAAACACCACTTTACTTGTTTCTGTCTAGTAAAGACATAAATAAAAATGGGAAAACTAAGCAGAAAGATTTCTGAAGATGTCTGCAAATATTTAATATCCCTAAGCCTCTGGGTAGAGAGGCTAACTTCAGGTAAAAACCAGCCTGTCTTCTCTCTCATTTATAGCGTCATTTAGGGATCCTTCTGAATGAAAGAAGTAATCTTTATTTTCCTCTTTAGCATGATGATACTGCAGTCATACCCTAACTTTGCTCTCTCATTTAGGGCTCTTCAGTAATAACTTAGGAGGCTATTTTTTTCAAGTCTCTTTATCTTTTACTCCCATGAAAATCAAGATGGTTTTCTGGCTGGGAATAGTCAAAATGATGATGTTTGGATGAGAAACTAAAGTGAGGGGAAAGATAAATGAATTTGAATGCTTGTCTGGGCTTGTTTCAAATGAAGCACTTCCTTTTAATGGATTTTCAGCTGAATTTCCTTGTTCCTTGAATATATTTATGTGTGGAAGAAGGAATGATTGGCCAAGTGTTGCTCTGCGGTAGTTTTATTGCCTTATATCTGGAAAGGTCAGTTTGAGTGTTCTTTTTTTGATTCTGTTTTATGATGCTTGTGTCTTTGATCTTTTTTTAATAGTGATTTCCGATGGCTTATCCGTGAGTGGTTCAAAAGCACGTTCCTCAGTGTCTCTCAGGCTGTCTGAGGGTGACTCCTTCAAGCTGCACTGCTCAGCAATTACCACCTCACAAGAGCACACTCATCTGCATATGACTTGGCAGAGCAAAAATGGATCAACTTGGTGCGATATCCTGTCTTTGACTCATGAGGGCAAATTCCAGCCAGGCCCTGGCTACGAAGAGCGCTACCATAATGGAGATATTCGCTTGGACACGGGGGCAAATGACACATACTGGTTATCTGTGTCCCAGGCCTTGTCAGTGGATGAGGGTGTCTACAGATGTCTTGTGAGTGAGTGGGTAAGAGGGGCAGATAGCTCATGGCAGAAGATTCAGGAGAAGAGCGTGGAGATAGCAAGCGTGGCAATCCAGCCCACTGGTGAGTGTTACTTATGGGCTGGGGGTCACACCTTGTAGCTACAGCAGTGCTGTCTATATTGTGATACTTTGAGAGCAGAAACTGGCTGAGCTGAACTAAATGAGGTTGTGTTCCAGGACAACCTAGAGTACTGTTTGGAGATCTGGTCTGTTTATATCTGAGCTGATAGAAAATGCTTGACATATTTTTTTCTAGCTTCTATTTTGGGGAGAAGGGGGATGATGCATGGAAGCATTGACTTGGACTTCTTAGATGCCTAGATCAAGATTTTATCTCATGCTTAGTTCACGTCAGATTTTTTTCTGTTTTTTTTTTAATATTTCTTATTGTATTTAACCCCTGAGCACTCCAAACCTTCCCTCTGCTCTCTCACTCCACAGGGCTGTCCCATGGCACTAAACAACTGCACTTCCCCTGTAAAAGTCGCTTGTGATTCAGTGACAGATATGAAGCTTTCCTGTATGTTGTTTATTAAAAAATCATAAAAAAAAAAGATAAGCAGTGATAATTTAACATGACAAATTATCCAGTGATTTTTATCATGAGCACTGGATCACTGGTCTGATTGCTCCATTGTGTTGGCAGGGATCTAGGACAATAATGATTCTGTTAAACACAACATTGCATTCTTGACTAAGGAGACAAAAATATATATTGTGCTGTGCAGAAGATATCCAGATATCCCTGCCCATACTGGTGTCAGCAATAGATACACCTGAGCACTTAATTGTATTAGCATTACCAGTGCTAGCTGGAGGAGGGAAAGTGAGGGGTGATGCATCTTGATACTCAAAAGGTGGAAAAACAGGCAGTGATGGTACGTCAGAAATGTGAGATTATGACGCAATTTTAAAAGTGTTCAGACACTTCAAAGGCTATCTTTTCAGTTTTGTAATCCTTTAATCGCTATAGGAAGAAACCAGAACTGCTGGGTTTTTCTTGGTATCTCATCTGGATGTAGTTTTAGTACCTTGATGGTACTTAGACTGTGAAATCTGACAGGATCAATCTGTGTCCTCTTTTTCAGGGTGCCTGTTACGCAGTAAAGCTTGCAGGTGCTTTCTGCTGAGGCAGGACTTGCTTAATTAAGAGTTGTAATTCTCCATTTTGTCACACTTTTGAAGAGCTTGGTTTAAGTAGGTAGGGTTTAATCAATGGCTAAAACCAGGAAGATAGCCAGCACCAGTGCAGTTTTTTAATGTGGTTTGGATGTGTGGTTTTCTTTGTGTTTGTTTTTTGTTTGTTAGTGAAGTATTTGCCTTCCTTTTTAGTTCAGGCACTGGCACTCTGTTGGGGCATGGAGGCTTTTTTTAAAGTTATGCTAAATGGGATAGGTTACACTCCAGCAAAACGTGGGAATTTTTACCCATGCATCCTGTAGTAGGACTTGAAGTTGTAAATGCAACTTGAAGTTTTAAATGAAACAATCAGTTATGCCTGGTAGTTTCACTTCCCTCATTCTCACCTGCTGTAACCTGTAGAGTTAAATCTGTAGAAACAAAATTAAAAATCACAAACTAAAAGATGAATTAACATCTCTAACAAAGTCATGCACAGGTTACTTGTGTAACTGTGTAGTAGGGTTTTTTTTCTGTTGCTCTTCTATCCACTTGCTCATCACTTCTGTCTCCTAAAATCATGATGTCTATGGGCCCAACTTTGTTCTTGTATGTCTTTTTTTAATAGTGCTTTGCACAATAGGTACATAACTGAGGCCTTTAGACATGTCTGTAACAACAACAAAAAAAGCATTTGAGAATATATGTATGGGTAAACTCTTTTTTTAGAGTTCTTCTGTATGCATTCACTGCCAGATTCTGAATGCCTGTCACTATTTCATGAAGACAGAAGTTGTCTCTCATTCCTGATGATAATCCTAGAAAGCTTTTACAGATGGGTACCTATTATATAATAGAACATAGTTTTACATAGAAGTCACCAATTTGCACCAGAGTCATGGCTGCCTGTTTAAGGCAGCAATCTGTATTATTGCTTTTGGTCTTTGTCATAGATCTTCTGGGAAGAGCCACTGCTCTAGCAGCCCTGTCTACTGGTCTCAGTTGAGACTTTAAGAGCAGCTGCATTCCAAACTGTGGGAGTGGTGCTGTGCTGAGATCCATATCTAATCTTTAGGCAATGTAGAATGAGGGAATGAGCAAGTGAAGACGTGGTGACCTGGTGAATGATTTGCATTGAGGTTTGCAAACAACACATACAGCATCCCTGTTTCACCTCTAACCAGTAACTAAGGCCAGCTTTTCTACTCCTGGTCTTGAAACTTTCATTCCGTGGGTTTCTTTTAACAAGCTGTGGCTAGCCTGATAACCTGCAGAATGCAGAAGGTTCCATTTGAATGCTGGCTAATGACCATATGTGCTGGCCATAAAAATAGTGGCCAGTGGAGGAGAACAGGTGTATTTTAAGTGGCTATTGGCATTGCTTTAAAGTCTACAGTGAGTGTTGGTCAGAGCAGTAAGTGGAGGAGTTGGCAGTATAAAGAGTTATTGCTGCCTTCTGTTTGCTTTTGTTTCATGTCTCTGCAACACACCTGAGATCATGTAGCTCAATATACTGCAGACATTTGAAGGTAAGGCTACTGAGCAGTTTCAAAAGCTTCTGTAATAGAATATAAAGTCCTGAATAAGTTACAGTGGGCTTTAAAAACAAAGTAATTTTTTTTTTTAATTTTTATCTCTTCATTTCTAAGCTCTAGATGTGGTCATCTCAACAAGCAATGTGTCTGTGACTGAAAGAGATTCCCTGGATCTTACATGCAACATCACAACAGACCGGAGTGGTATTTTCCAAGCAGAGGTGATGTGGTATTTTTCTGCATCACCTGATGCTACCTTGTCAGATGCTCAGGTTTTGCTGAGCATGAACCATGATTCTGTTGTCAGTGATTCAACTCTCATCAGCCTGAGCCATGTTGATAGGAACTCCTATCGCCTGTTGGTACGTGATGTGGATGTGGGAGACTCTGGCTACTACTTCTGCCAAGCGGCTGTCTGGGTGCCACTGCATAACGGGAGTTGGCATAAGGTGGTGGAGAGAAGATCTGCACCTGTCAGTGTGATGGTGACAGCATTAGGTAAGTGATTCTGCTTTCAGAGTTCATGGGTAATATGTCGCTCATTCCTTGGTCCCATCTTGATCCTGCAAGAGAGGATCTTGCGGAAACTCTTCTGCACAAGTTTCTCTTTTGCTTGCACCTGTTATCTCTCACATATAAAAATACTGATGCTACAGAGTTTTGGATTTGTACATTATAGGTCTTACTGCATGTCCCACTTATGCATTCCACTTTCTGGTGTCAACAGTCTGCACCTGGGAAATAGAACTTAAAAGCCTGCCTTGTTTTCTAGGGCCTGAAGCTGCCCTTGTTGTATGTTGTCCCCTTCCACTTCCCTCATACCATTAGCAGGGCTCTGATCCAGCAACAGACATTTCTTTCTGAGCTCTGAATGCAGTGGTATCAGATGCTTTCTCTGATTTTTGCAAGTCATATTATAAAAACTATAGAAACTTGAGAGCTTTCAAAGTTGCTGGGTTTTGTTTTGTTGTTTTAATTGCTAGAGAGGCACACATCCTATTGGTGGATTTAGAATGGAGCATGACTTTATACTGTTTTATTCTCCTCCCTCTATAAACAAGTAAATTTTTTGAGACCATGTCACAAAGCTGTTGAGTAGTGTGACTGAGTGAGAGAGACCTGGCTGGTGCCTAACTTAATGCTAGTGCTATTGATTAGCACTGGCCACTAAAACAGATTTTCCTGTGGTATTTAATGTCCTACTCAGTGTGGTGCATTTTTCATCTTGTAGTCCTAGAGGTGAGTGGATTTTTAGCCTTTTGGACAAGAAAAGGATTATCTATGCACTTGAGGTTATGGGTTCCATACATTAGTTCAGCATTTCTGCAGCAGGTTCCTATAATTCACCAGTGGGGTGGGGAAGCTACTTAAACATAAACTTGATGATCTCTTTATTTTATCCTTCCTTTACCTCCCAATTGTTCTTTGCAGTTTTCCTTTCTTACAGCTCTAATACTGTCAATGTCCACATTGTTTTGCAAGGCGCTGGTTAGAAGCAGCCTTGTTTAACAGTTGTCTATGTAAGGCTTGTTGACTAGGTGAGCAACAGAAGCTGTAAAAGAGATTCAACTCTGATCTACCTGGCCTACAAGAGCAGCCTGACACTATCTTTTCCTATACCCCTTTCCCAAGACAAATCTGTTTTGGAGATCCACTGGTTCATATGCACACTGCAGATTGTAAAGCAAAAGCTTTGTATTATCCCAGCTGAACTCTGTTTGTCCAAATATCCTTAGAAGTTGCCTGGGAGAAATACTGAAAATTAAACTCCAGCAAAATTTCTAAAAACCCTGTTATTTTAGGGATGTCTGGGTGTGTCAGCCTGCCTGTCCTGTCTCCTAGCTTAATCCTGGGGAGAGAATAGCTTCAATTTAGAAGCAGTGAAACTCAAGATTATGTTGCAGGATGCTGTAGGTAAGGTTTCTGTGCCTGCTAAAATTGACAAACTCTTGGTTGTGTTGGAAACATGAATGAGCCTAGATGGGAGCTGGGGGAGAACTGGCAGAGCTGTAGTGCTTGGTGCTTGTTCCCAGCTTTGATTGGAGGCAAGTATCCATACCTAAACCCTCGCAACGTACCTGTTCAGAGCCTCTTGTCACCAGAAACTGGTGGTGCTGTCTGGTTACAAAGGCAGAGTTCCTCCAACAGAAATGTACTGAATGAGCCCAATATATAGAGAGTCTGCTCTGAAGTCTGGTTTTCAGAAGTAAATAGCTGCATAAAAAGGTTAAAACCCCGTAACAATTACTTTAAATTTTGCATTTTACCATTGTACAGAGCAGTTGAGCCATGGCTGTTTCCACGTATACTTGTAATGTGTGCTAGAAGTGCTCAAGTGATAAATGTCTTCTTTTCCTGTCCTCATTCAGCCATTCAAATTGCATATTAAATTTGTAAGTGTTCCCTTCTTCCCCCACTTGCATACACGCTCATGCATGCTCATGTGTTCATGTACACACAGGTGCACTGCCCACTCATGTACTCTCTTGTAGTGCCTGTACCTGTAGAACTATTCCTTACACTCTCCATTCCAATTTGGCATTATTTAGAGCAAGAGAGAATAAAATCTGCTCTTCAGCAGTTGCTTGGTTGTTAGGGCAAGGGAAAGTAGAATAAATTTTCAGCATTTGAGGTTTTTAACTGCATACAGAATTCACCAACTCCTCCTTAATGGATGTTAAGAGCTGCTAGAGTATTAAGTCATTGAACTACCAGTGAGGCTGTTCTTTGACAGCTGACAGAGCAGAGGAATGAGATTTATCTAGCCAGCCTTTTATTCTTTCTAAATCCTCTGGTTGAGTGTCTGTCAGGGTGAAGTGCCTAGCTGGAGTGGTGCTGTCAGAGCCAAAACTCTCTTAATGGTCCTTCTCCTGCCTGCAAATAAAACAAACCTGAAGTGATTTTCTGAGAAAGCGAGTTTCTTGAAGATTTTTCCTTGTGTTCCTGTCTAGAGAAGAGTCTCTGCTTTCATAGTGTTTGCTGCTCTGAAAATATTAATTGGTATTGAAAGCCTTCTTTTTGGGGGGGGGGGGGGGGGAGGGAAGGTGAGGGGGAGTGCTAAGAAAATTGCAGAGCATGAGCAATATATCATGAGGCCCTGGAGAAGAACAGTGTTTTTTGAAAGAGACAGGAAGAGTAGTGTAGCTGTAGGATCTATGGGGGCTTAAAAGTGATGTTTGATCACCATTAATAATCTATGCCTTGATTGCATAGATTTTTATTTTGCCTTCCTTACACTGAAAATGTGCAGAAATTAGCACTATTTTCAATGGTAGTACATACTACAGACTTCTGTAAACAGTAATTTTATGTTTTTAACACTGCAGATACTCAGCATCTCTTGTGTCTGGTGTGTATTAATGCCCTTGTTCTTGCTGGATGCAAAGACACTGCATGCAGAACACTTAATGGTGAGAAATCTTTTCTACAAGCAGCCAGCTTGCTTGATACACTTGTTTTTTTCTTTTGCATCTGAAGTCCGAAAGTGTGTGCGCACACACAATTTGCACAGCAGTTCTATGAAGATGCTTATTATTATCCTGGCTCATTGGTGAGCTAAGCCTAAGTTTTAGCCTTGGATTGCAGTCTCTGTCCCAGTTATAGCTTCAGTTAATTGTTTCTAGGAGGGCAAAATGCCAAGTAAAACATAAAGCAAAAAATAAATATAGAACACTGAACACAATGTAAAAGCCCTGTGATGAGTGCTGGCCAAACAGTTGGATACCTAGTTGTCGTGGTTTAAACCCAGTCAGGTAACTTGTTCACTCACTCCCAGTGAGTGGTGCCGAGCTGACAACAATCGAGGTCCGTGTCCCGTCCCCCCCCCCCCCCCGGGGTTCTCCCCCACTCCCGGAGGAACGGGGAGGAGGATCGAAAGAGTGCAACTCCCACGGGTTGAGACAAGAACAGTCCAGCAACCAATGTACACAAATCACCACCGCAACTATCAACTACAACAATGATAAGGGAAAATAACAAGGGAAGAGAATACGATACCACCGGCCAAGAAGACGAGTTCCACCTGGAAGCCCCGTGTCCTTCCGGGTAACTCCCAGTCACCCCCCACCCCGGCCATGACGTGCTGTGGTATGGAATACCTCCCTGGCTAGCCCGAGTCAGGTGCCCCATCTCTGCTTCCTCCCGGCTTCCCCTCCTCCCTGGCAGAGCATGAGCCTCACAAAGTCCTTGGTCAGGGTAAACATCACTTAGCAACAACTGAAAACATTGACTTCACCAACACTGTTGTCAGGTTGGAAGTCAAAACACAGCACTGCACCAGCTAGCACAAAGGAAAAAAAAAACAAACATGACTGCTACTGCTGAACCCAGGACACTAGTCTTTTTTTTTCTGAATTATAGTAGACAGAGGGCAGAAAAATATTTTAACACTAGTAAATAAATATGTATTTCCTTTGTGGTGTGAGGTTGTTGCTGTAACCTTTTTCCTTTACTATCTCTGTAGTCTGAGAGAAAATAGTCACGTGGCTGCCTTATCGCTTTTAGGCTTTGGACAGCCAGCTTTTTCAGATTTAAATACAACAGCCCTGTTCTTAACCCATGAATTTCAGGCACTCCTTTTCAAGCTTGAGGTATTCCAGTCTCACAGCTGCATAGGATGTACTTCTCTTCAGACTGTGAAGCTCTTCTGATTTTTGCCTCTTCACCTATTTAGTATTTATTATGCTGCCTGTTGAAATGTACTGTGCCCCACTCTTGGAGCTGCCTGTGGCGAGTGCCAGTGGTGGTACCCAAGCCCCCTGGTTTTGGTGTCTGGGTGGGCAAGGTAGTTTTTACTGGTTGTTTTTTAACATTCTTAAACTGTATTGTAGAGACATAATGGGATGGTTAAGTGTGGAAAAGAGGCACTTCAGGATGGGAAATGGCCTCTTATCCTAGAGAAGAATTGGGGAAATGGGATGTCTTTGGTTAATCCAAAATTAGAAAATAACTCCCCTGTTGCTGCAGGCTGCCCTCAGGCATTTGATTAGGTGCAGAAGGTGACTGCCTGAGCTGAAACTGAACCCACATGGTGGGTTCTCGGGGCTAGGCCTAAAGAAGGGGATGATTTTGCTCAACAAGATCTTAGTCCTGATTTTTCTGAAATGGTGTGACTAGACATACAGAATAGAAACTCTTATTCAGAAATGTGGGCCTCAGGGTACTTGTGTCAGACTGGTGCAAGTCTGAGAGCTGGAGTCAAAGTTCACAGTTCCCAGGTCTTGTGAGAAAAATTCATATTCTGACATTCGGCTTCTAGCTCAGGTACTTTTGCAGAAATGATGTTAGAAGTTAGAAATATCTCTTAATAAGCTCTGGCACTTTCCTCATCTTCTTTTCTGGGTTTCTTCTCCTGCAGAGCCAGACTATGAGGTGTTTCTGAATGCCTCTAAAATACCCAAGTTTTCAGATGACCCCACAGAGCTCAACTGCAGGATCACAAATGCACAGGACACTGAAGCAAACATCCGCTTCACGGTTTCCTGGTACTACAGACAACGCCTGCGCAGTGATGATGTGGTCACAGCGGAACTCCTGGCCACCATGGACACAGACTGGACTCTGCAGCTTGGGGACAGGACCAGAGAGCAAACTCAGAATGGGGAAATTATATTCTCTAAAAAGGCTGTTGACACCTTCAGTTTCCGAATCCAGTGGACTTCAGAAAGCGACAGAGGGGATTATTTCTGTGTCATCTCTGCGTGGAGCAGGCACCGAAACAACAGCTGGGTAAAGAGTAAAGATGTGACTTCTGCATCTGTCAGTATTTTCTGGGCAACACAAGGTAGGAATCTTGCACCTGTTTGCTGAAAGCTTGCTAATGGGCTTTGGAAATGGGTTCTGTGTTATAAAGAAGATAAAAAGTACTGCATAGTGTAAAGGCCTCTTATTTGTGGAGGGAAGTAGCTACTTAAAAGCACTCACCAGTTTTATGCAACAGTTTGGAGTGGAAGTGCAAAGCAGAGGTATGTCAGTGAACCTGTGCTGAGACTTCCAGGAGCCAGGCTGTCATTGTGGCAGGTATGGCATCACTATGCTGGGGTCATTGTACCCTTTCATTACGTGGAGGGTTGCATCTTTCTGCTAGCAACATGGTTGTCTTGAGGTGAAGAGAGGAATGTCACTCACTTTCAGTCTTCTGTTTGACCATTTGAGGCATTTTTTTTCTCTTTCCTATAAGCCCATGTTTAGAACACACTTCCGAGGAAGTTCATGAGCACAGTAGTACCAGATTGCTCTGTTCCCCACTTATTTTTTGATGGTCTAAGTAATTCAGTGATTTGCATGGATTGGGGCCTTTTTTCAGGCTGAAGTGGGCTAGCTCAGGCATCCACAGGCAGAGAACTTTATTTCAGAGACAAGTATTTTGAAATCAGTTTAGTGATAATCCCTAATCAGCAAACTGGAGAGCTTCTGCTGTGATTCTGCTTTAGTGGAAAGAGAAATGGTGAGCTGCTTGCTCAGTATCCACTTCATCCACAGAATGGTCCACAAAGGTCTTTTCACCTTAGTTGATTCTGTGATTCTATGTTGGTTTTGTTTGTTTGTTTTTTTTTCCCCTCTGAAGCTGACTTCTCCAGCGGCAATGAGATCTCTCATTGATGCTGAATGCTGGTCACCATTCAGTTGTTGTGGCATAACACAGAGCATGTATGTGCGTGCATGTGTAATGGATCATTGCCTTTGGAACAGCTAGGAAGACCAGCTGGAGTTGAAAAGTCTCAGCCTGTGTTGACATTTCTGAGGGAAAACAAACCATGACAGGTGTGAACATTCCCTTGTTTCTGGTTTTATTCCAAAAAAGCTGCTGATTCTGCAACACAAATGTAAATGTTACAGTCTCCATGCTGAAAAATATGTTTTGTTGGCAAAACTCAGAGTTGGGATATTTATGATCTGAAAGTGAGCTCTCCTACAAGCACTTTCTCCTCCTGAAAAAGCATGTTATATATGTATAAGGGGGGGGAGGAAAACAATATGAGGGTTTGATTTCCCCTGCTGCTTTTCCACTCCTCATGCACATCCTCCCTCTCCCCCCTAGCTTTCAGCAGTTGCCTTTCTCTGCATGCCCTGTCCCTCTCCATATCCTATTCATGGAGCTCTGGACTTGGCTGTGAGCCCAGTGCTGTAGCCAGCACCTATGAAGGAGTTAATCTGCTGCTGCCTGTGCTCTCTGACTGTTATTTTGACAAGCATCTCTGGTGATTTGAGTCCCAAACTGCTCCCAGCAGATTCCCATGAGTTTGCCTAGGGAGACAACAGAAACTTGCCTCTTCCTTAGACAGCTTGTGCCTACATAGAGGCTTTTCTTCCCAACAATTTCATTACTTTCATTCTCTGTGTTAACTTCAGAGCAGTGCTCCAAGGACTTCAGAGAAATCTCACTTTGAAAAAGGCTGGTTTTGATAAAAAAGTAATGGTTCCATGTTGTGTTGGTGGGTCAGTCAGCACAGAGGACATTTGGGATAAGGATGCCTTTGCTTGAAATGTAAACACCATGTGAAGATGTCAGTCCTTTTTGTGTGTCATATAAGAAGAACTTTATAGTTTTTTTGTCATCTTTTTCTATTTTGTTCCACTGGGACCAATAATGCTCACGTCTCTCTGCTTACTCAACTTTACAAATGCAGCCAGTTGCTATCATAGATCACCATTGATTTTGACATGGTCTGCCTGATTTGTTTCTTCCGTTTCACTTCTGTGTTTTACCCTCTTCCCTGCCAAGGTGACAAAGAAAGCATCTTTATATCACCGCAAAAATGAAAAGCATCAATTATGTTGTTTTTTTCTTAGAGTACAAATTCCAATCAGTAAAAAGGGGCAAAGGAAGGGAGGAAGACTTTTTTGACTGGCTTTGTAGATGAATTTCAACCCAGGAAAGAGTTCAGTAGTTTAAAAGATAATTTTATTTACTGAATGTGAGGACTGCCAGCATTTAAAAAACAGTTACTGTTTTTTTTTAAAAGACCTGGTGCTTTTTTTCCTAAACCAGTGTTTTCAACTTTAGTTCTGCATGGAACTCTTTGCAAAAGAGAACATTATCTTTTAACTGAAATTCTAAATCCCAAAGGATTATTTGGGGTTTAGTTAATACTTCTGTCTTTAATTTACAAAGTAATTGTATTTAACATAATGCTACTTGTGCTAAATGCTTGCCTAGGCCTTCCCATCACATTTAATTGGGAGTAAGGGCATCTTAATCATTCAGAAAGCCCTGTGAATAGAAAACAGGTGATATGCCTACACCCATTTGACTTAACCCTTGCTGGTGTATAACACACTGCATAGTAACAGACAGGAAGCTCTTCCTGAGCAAAAAAATTCTTAGAGTAGAAATGAGATCTTAAGCTGTAGTTCTTGGAGGAAAATGTTCTTTGGTGTCTTTGGCCCCTCTTACATTATAAGATCTGATGGATAGTTTCTGTTAATACAGGAAATATGAAGAAACTTTTCTTTCCCACTTAACTTTCCTTGCAGATTACTGTTATTTCTAAACTAAGTGCCAAATCTTCTCTTTCTCGTAACATGCAGAGACAACTACTTGCTTTTTTAGGTAAGGGTGTTGGAATGCTAATTTCATCTGCTGCTACTGGAGGAGAACAGTTTTGGCAAGTTGTTTCTTCTGAGCTACATCTGTACTGCTATGATCATGTGGAAGTGTTTTTCTTAAGCACATGTATGACAGACCAAATGCAAGATTTCTTTTTGGTGTCTAGGACACAGTGCTCTGACATGAAAATTGACAGCACAAAGAATGCTTGCATCAGGAAGAATTTTTGCCCAGAGCCTTCTCATAAGGCCTAAAAAGCAGCAATATGCAGCAGGAAAGTACAGCTTAGCTGTTTGCTATTCTGTTTGTGGAGCAAAGTATAATTGTCTACTATATTCCTAAAATATGTGGCAGGCTGATCTGTGCTGGCTTCTAAATGCTGCAACCTTATGAAGAAGGTGATAGCAGAATCTCATGGACACATAATGAGATAAAAATGGATTTGAAGTCTAGAATCATAGGCATGATGAGCTCTCTCACAAGGGAGTGGAGAATGACTCTGTGTGTGCAACTTCAATTGTGATTGTACCCTGAGTGCTTAAATGTGCCATTCTTATATTCCTACTTAGTGGGTAGAAGTGTGATGGCGCTTTGGTGTGCAGTATCAAATAATTCTGTGCTCAGCTAGACCACTAGAAGCAGCTCAGCCTTCATCACTCCTGGTGTTTCTTAATATAGCTTTGTACTGTGATATGCTTTATGCAGTACTGATTTAAAGTTGTCATAGCCCGGTTGTGGGCTGCGTTTACTCATTGTGAAAACTGCTGCTTGAAGGCAAAATCACTGCGAAATGTAATCTTGACAAGTTATCTTTGTTGCTCTTGTGGGGAGGGCATAAATATTACTGAATTTACTTCGGTTTTGGGGGATGTGTTGCAATCTCACCATTGCTTATTTCCCTTTTCCTGAGAAGTTCCACCTTGCATGAAAGTGATCTGTGTAGTTTTTTGTTTAACATGTCTACACTTTTTTTTTTTATAAAGGGGAGAAGGGAAATTATGATGCACCAAAGTAAGCCCAGAAAGTCCGACTGACTATTTTTGCAACACTGCTACTTTGAGAAGTGATTGTGTCGTGGTTTAAACCCAGCCAGACAGCTTGTTCACTCACTTTCCCCCCCTTCTTGCCCTTCCCCTACTCCCAAAGGGATGGAGAGGAGAGTAAAAAAGAATGCAACTCCCACGGGTTGAGATAAGAACAGTTTAGTAACTAAGGTATAACACAAATCACTACTGCTACCACCAATAATAACAATGATAAAGGAAATAACAAGGGAGGAGAATACAACACCTCACCACCAGCTGACCGATAACTTGCCCCCCCCCCGCCCAACCAAGCACCGACCCATACCTCCTCCAACCCTGCGTCTCCCCGCCCTTCTGGCTAACTCCCAGTTACATCCTGGGCATGACATGCTGTGGTATGGAATACCTCTTTAGCTAGCTTGGGTCAGGTGTCCTGTCTCTGTTTCCTCCCGGCTTCCCCTCCTCCCTGGCAGAGCATGAGGCTCACAAAGTCCTTGGCCAAACCAAAACATCATTGTTATCAGCTCTGTTCCCAGGCCGAAAGTCAAAACACAGCACTGCACCAGCTACCAAGAAGGAGAAAAATGACTGCTACTGCTGAACCCAGGACAGACTGTAAGCTACATTATTATGCCTCAGCCCTCCCTCCCTTGGGAAGAACCTGGGTGTGCAGGGTGCCTCTTCATAACAGTGCCAGGGAACAAGCAACTCCCTTTCATTTATCTGGCTCTGATTTCAGTCAGTCCTCATATTCTCCCTGTGAGCTTGTATTTTTTGTGTCTTGAGGCTATGCTCCTAGATGTATAATTTTCTCTAACCCTGTAGTTAAGGGATTCTTGGGGTTGAGGAGCTGGCAGGCTTTGGAGAATGCTGAAGAAAGGGAAGGAAATGAAACAGAGTTACTGGCATTCTTTCTGCCAACTGGGCTGTTGGGAAGTATCAAGGCTTCTGGTAGGTTTGTACTCGGGTGAATATATGAGAAGCAAGAGAAAAGAACATGGAGATGGAGGCAGAGGTTTACTGAACCTTTCTCTTTAAATGCAGAGGGGTGTGTATATGGAGGTGCTGGGGATGGAGACTTCTGTTACCCCCAACTTCTTTATCATGCAGTTTCAACTAATCTTGGAAGTTCAGCTGAGTGGGTCTGTATTGCTGTTAGGTTTTCAAGGGAAATAAAGGAAGCTACACTAAGTGTTGCCATTCAGTTAGTGGCAGCTTTTGTCACTAGTCACGAATACTCTAGCAGTGTCCTCATCCGGTGAAAAAATAGGACTCTAAATCTTATATGACTAATATCTTTTGAATAAAAAAACCCTGGAGGTCCTGTCATGCTGTGACCTGTGTATTGCATTAATTGTTCAGTGTTTGGTGTGTGTTTGTTTGAAATCTTGCATCTTGACCCAAACTGGTGTGTACTGGTGTACGCATGCGGCTGAGTAGCATTCTGGGATGTCCATACGTGTTAAGATAAATGTGCTGGGACTTGTCTGTACTTTGCTTCTTTGTAATCTTCTGGATTGAAAGTTGCTGCAGAAATTTCTGCACATATTTATTGTATTAACCCCTCCTTTGCGGCTTATTTCCTTCCCTCTTCAGATTACACACTCACAGTGGAGGCGGTGAAATTGAAGCCATTCTTTGTAGCAGGCCACACCTTTGAGATGACATGCAAAGTGTCTTCAAAAAACATCAAGACACCGCGCTATTCCGTCCTCATTACAGCTGAGAAGCCACTAGCAGATCAGTCGAATCCCAATGGAACTACTCGCATCATCTCTTTGAACCAGGATTCAGTAGTGCGGCTGGAAGACTGGACAGACCAGACTCGTGTGGATGGTGTGGTGCTGGAGAAGGTCCAGGAGAATGAGTTCCGCTACAGGATGTATCAGACCCAGATTTCTGATGCTGGGCTCTATCGCTGTGTGGTGACTGCCTGGTCTCCAGGTGGTGGTGGCATGTGGCGTGAAGCAGTGAATGGCTTATCCAACCCTATCCAGATAGACTTCCAGATGTCAGGTTGGTATAGAATCTGGCAGCAGTGTGTCTGAGCCAGAAAGTCTGTCTCTGGGAAATACCTACTCTTTGGAACATGGAAGGGGTATCCAAATGGTATGATGGCTGAGAGCTATGCCTGCCTCTTTTGGTGGTACTTGCGTCCTTTGTGCTATTGCTTGTTTACAGAAAGATGTTTATTGACTTCACTGTAATCATAACACCTGGGTTTTTCTTTACTAATGCAGTATTTATGGTCCTTCAGGTTCAGAGCTGGTTCTTGGTATGGAATAACTGCTGCCACATTTACCAGCTTTATCACTAGATTGCTGTTAGGTCGTGGCTGCTTTGGTAGAACACTAATATAAACTGGATTTCTGTTCCAAAACAGACTTGATCAGGATAGCAGTAGATTACCTAAGCACACCTTCCTGTTGATGTAATTGCAGAAAATGGGCAGGTCAAGACGACTGCAACACTTCAGTAACATCTCAGCAAGTGTATCCTGACACTGGAAGCCCTTAGAGGCCCCTTGTGGCTGGATTACAGAACTCCACAAATTGGGATGAATATCAGTACCCAGAGCTGAAACCCTAACCCTTCAGCTGTAGCGAAGCCTACCTGTTGCCAGTCCTGGTATATTTTTACGGGGAGGTAGAGAGAAACAGCATTGGTTTAGATCATTGGAGATGCATGTTAACACCGACTTCTTATGCCTTGGGAGTTGGTGCACTGATGAGTGGAGGGGTCACCTAAGCTGGTGACCTCTTGAGCACTTTTGAAGAGCTCTCAGCATAGCTCAAAGGTGCATTCTATGTTGGAACTCTCTAGCACTCACCTTCTGCACTCACCCATTGCTGTTCACAAACACAGCTTGGAAGAAGGTCTCTTCTCACATCCCTTGTTCTTCATATGAGCTATTCCACATTCTTATATTCTATTCTTGTAACAGCACTATAGGGCATTTAGGAGGTGTATCTATGACTAGGCAAGAACAGCCTGACTTACAATTGCATCCATAACTAAGGCAATTATTCTCTATGAGGTGACTTCTGAAAACTGCACTTCCTTATACTAGGCACACTGGGAAAAGGACAAGGGCTGAGTGTAGGGGCACAGCCTTGCAGTGAGGACATCACTGTGTAGTTTTAGCCTTATTACTCTTGATACCTGGGTCAGGCACAGTGGGAATGCAGCATTTGCAAAGGGATGATGCAAGAAACCAGCAAGAATGAAATCTGTCCCAGTCCCTTCAAAACCCTTATGTGGAAGCTTTCCTGCACAAAAGTGGTATGTCTCCCAGCATTGCTTGTGTGATGTCACTTTGAACTCCCATCCAAAAAGTTTGGTGGGATGCTATTAATATCCATGGTTCAGAGAGAAACCTGGGAGCTATGCAAGGGAGGGAAGTGTGACTGTTGTAGTCTTGACTTCTTTTTGCTATCACATTCCCAGCCTCTTCACTCAGATAGGATTTCTGGAGTGTGGATTGAAGAAAGGGAGGCAGTCCATAGAACTGCCCTGGGAATGTGTGAATTCCAGTAGTAGGGCTGGAGAAGGGGGGAGGGATGGTCCTGAAACCCTTGCAGCCTTTCATTCTTTACAAAAGAACGAAGGGAGAAATGAGATCCCAAGCACAATTTACTGGAGAGCTATTTCCCAAAATAATCTTGGCATGTATTAAAATCTGGCTTGGAATACCTTCCTTTCTTCAGTTGATGGATGAACTTCATGTCCTTCAGTTGTTGCTCAGATATCCCTGCTGGGCATTCATCTCTAGGCATGATGAGGTCACATGCTGAGCACAGAACGGAATAACTGTGGAATTATTATTTGGAAAATTGTTTGGAATCAGGTATACGAGACAGAAGACGTTTTGTGGGTGTGTTACTTTGGTTTTGCTGAGGTGCACTGTCTCTGATGCAAAATGAGACTGAGTCAGGGAGTTGGAGTTAAATGGCAAAGTTGTGGAGCAGCCATAAAAGCACAGCTCAGATATCACGCCTTCGTCTTTCATCCTGTCGTGCAGGCAGCTGTCAGACTTGTTCTTCAGAAAAAGAAGTTGGTGCCAGATTTTTCTGAATGGGAATGGTGAAACTGCTGAGGTAGCTAGTGGTTTCTGGGGAGAATGAGAGGGTGCCCAAAACTGGAGGGAAAATACTACAGGAAAAGGTCAGAAAAAGCAATGGCGTGCAGCTCTCCATGCAACTGTAAAAGCTCGGGAGCACCGCTCTGCTAAATCCTGAGTTTAAGGGAGGGTGATGAGTAGCTTAAGAGTATGTTTATCCTTAATAGGGAAACTATTAAGTCAATTGCACTGACTTCTGAGGTTCTCCAAGTGTAATAGAAAGACATTTTAACTGTGGCTGCTGGAGAGGATATAACAAGGCAGTATAATTTCAAAACCCAGAAGGTATTGCAGTCTCTTCCATACTCTGAAGGCCTGGACTTAGACAGCATTTTCAGCTTGTGCCATGGGAGATGAAGTGGGGAGGTGATGGGTGTAGAAGCAACATTTTCAGAAGAAGAAAGCTCTTAAAAGGGCTTTACATAAAGCTTTTAGTGGTTGGAAGAACTTCTTTCTCAGTTGTTTTTATTGATTCCCCTTTGATACAGGGTGGGGAAACTTGTTAGGGCTGGAAATCCTTCCCTCCAGTTTGACTGCCTCCCAGATCTCAGAGTGATGTTTCAAGGAGAGTTTTTCAGTGTGCACACGCATTGTGCAATGTGATCTACTTGAATGGCAGGAGGCCTGTAAGCTTTTTATATGTGAGCTGGGGACTGCGCACATGAAACTTCAGTGTTTCCTGCCACAATAGGCTTGAAATGTAGCAGTGCTCTGGAATACTTTTCCATGAACATCTGTGGAAAATGTCTTGCTCAGATTCTTTCCATTCAAGGCAGAGCTTGCTGGCTGCAAGCAGAGACCTCCTCTCTTCTTTCTCCACTTGCTGTTGCAGAGGGAAATATTTATTCCGTTTGGTTAATGATCTGAAATGTTAATGTAAAGGTATTTGTCAGGTAGTTGGGAACTTGCTTGAGATCAGAGTGCTTATCTGATGCAGGTCTGTGCACAGCTACCTGCATCAAATGGCTCCAGCTGACTGCAGCTGTTAAGTTTCTGTTTGTTTTGGGGATGGTTTATGTGATTTTGCTTGTTTGTTTGGTTTTTTTATTTTCCTGGCATCAAAAATATTTCTTTGGCATTTTTCCTTTTAATTTTCTATCCCCTTTACCCTGAACCCAATAACCCAGATTAGAGTTTAGCGTGGCTTCACCCACTATATGCTCGCAGGGATTTCCACAGAAGTGACTTACTTTCCTTTGAAGATAGCAGAGAGAAGGAAGCTTTTAATCTGGTATTGAGAAGTTTGTTGTAAGAGAGAACAATTTGGAACTTGGCTGTGCTCTGAACTGGCTTGCTCTGTGCCATTCAGCAGAGGGTAGAAAGCTCTGGAGAGGCAAAAATAAAACTTTAAGGGAAGTGTCTCAAGGAAATCTTCAACTCTGGATTACATCTGCACATGAGCTCGTTGCACAGCAAGTTCACTTTGGATGAAGCTGAGATAAACTGGGAGCTGCTGGAAATGTGAGCTGAGTTGTGATGTTAAACTTGCAATTAAAATGAAATGATGCCCTACAATGACCCCATGACATACTCAGTTTCAGGAGAGGAGAATGGAAAGATTCCTAAAGGAAAGAAACCTTAATCATGGAAATGTATAAAGAGCAATACAGCACAAATTCTGACAAGAAAGGCTGGTATTTTCCTGCCACTGTTGATAGGCAGAAACGTGCTTTGTCATTGTATTCCTATGTGCATTAATTTGTAGCTGGAATGGAAACCACAGACTAAACTACTGGGGGCTTCTTCCAATAACAGCTATTATGAGGCTTGGGGTAAAATTTGTTAGGGATCAGCTCCATGAAGAAGCAGGGAGAGGCCAGAGGGCTGGAATAATGGGGGTGAAGGAGCTCATTATCTGGAGGAAAGCAGGTCATGGGATTCTCAGTTCAAGAGTGAATGATTTGGTGCCAGGGCAGATACGAGTAATATTTTGGAAGACAGAACTTGTCGATTGCATCAGGTTTTTTACCAGTTGTGGTCAGCAGTGTTGGCTGACTCCAGATAGGGAAGCTGCATGCAGGGACTGCAGTCTCCTGGCTAGGTAATGAACTGGGTGCAGGCATCTTGAATGGAGCAGCCTGTTCTAGATCTCTGTCAGTCATGTTACTTGACCTTTCTATGTTCTACTTTACTTGTCTGGAAAATAAAGGCAGTTCATGTCTGTAAAGAGAAAATAGCTTATTTTTTTTCAGAAAAGAGCTTGCTAAAATGATACAGAAAAGATCAAAATGTCACCTAGGACCTAAATAATTGGATCTCTACTATTGTTTCTCTTTAAGAACACCTAGATTTGTATTAGTAAACTTCTAACTTCAGTTTCTTCACTTTGTTTAAAATACAGTGTTTTTTCAAGTTTTCAGAAGTCAAGAAATGCTCTGAAAACGTTTTACTCCTATCTTGACTGCTGATGCTTTTTAATATAGAATTGTTAATACTTTAATAAAGAATAAAATTTGTTTTACAAGCTGTATCTAAGCTTACTTATTGGCTTAGTTTAAATCAAAGGTCTCGGCAGAAGACTACAATCTAGGGAAAGTGTCATGATTTAAGCCCAGCTGGTAACTCAAAAACATGCAACTGCTTGCTTACTTACCCTCTTTCTTCCTCTCCAGGGGAGGAGAAGCAAAAGAATGTAAACCCCATGGGTTGAGGTAAGAACAGTTCAGTAACTATAATACAAACCCCATCAGTTTGTGAAAGAAACCACAACACTGCACCAACTACCAAGAAGGAGAAAAATGACTGCTACAGGTGAACCCAGGACAGGAAGGTTAATGCTTAGCTCTTACAATTGAGAGTGCTGGTTTGTTTTGTAAGCCTGTGCCCTTTAGTTTCTGAATTAACTGAGGGCTTATCTTCAAACCTGAAGTTACTAAAACCCAGTTATTTCTCAGCTTTCAAAGTCCTGAGCAGCTTTCCTACGCTTAACTTAGCTTTGTTCTTGATGAGCTTTACAGTCATGTTTGAGCTGTCATCCTGGCAAATGAAACTAAATTCAGGTTTGTTTATTCTCCTGAGTGACCAGTAGGTGCCAATAACAATATTTCAGACTGTTAAATACAAGTGGTGAGGTGAGCAAAGGCACATTATCCATTAGCTCTAAAGTTCTATTTTTCTCAGTGTTAATGTAGCCTGAACTCAGATCTCATTGAGGCAGAGTTCATGTTACATCCCCAGACCTTCTTTGGATGCCGCAAGTGCTTGAGTGTGGTGATGCTGAGACGAGTGTCTGCTGGGAGCTGCCTGTTATCACATGCCTGCATCTGCAAGCTTAGGGTTGAGGTTTATCTGGTTTTGTTTTTGTCTTGGAGGGTAAAAACTTAAGAAAAGCACTTGTGTTTTGTGTGCCAAGCACTGCTTGATAGATCTAGATCCAGATCTTGAATACTGTGGTGTAATGAGGGGCGGAAAAAAAACCCGAACAGGATCCACACCTTGCAGAGGGCTTTTGTGGCACATTGTGACCTCTCTCAGAAGGTCTTGAGGAGCCTTGAAAATGTGTCTGGAATCATCCTGTGTTTGCTCTCATGCTGGTTTTTGCGCAGCTGCTTTTCTTGAGCCTGCAGTAAAGCAGATGCCCAGTTAGATAAAGTAATGGTTTTGCTAGTAACCCACTAACAAATACTGGTTTGCTGCTGCTTTTGCTGGAGATGGGCGTACAGCTGATTCCTTCTTCTCTCATCTTGTTGCCAGACAGCTTCAGCTGAAGCCAGAGTAAATTTTTTAAGCTGGGGACATAAATCAGACAAGTTATAATCAGGTTAAAAGCACTGGTCAGTTGTGTGTTTTTAAAATAAAAGCAAACAAACACAGAACCCTTCTACAGAGAAGGGTGGCATGCAGATGACTTTCAGTGAGGTATTATAGCTGTGTTACAGTTTAGGTTTAAAAATAGTTTTCCCTCTTCAGCTGGAGAGGGGAAAAGCACAACACTTGACACATTTCTCAACACTGTTGAAATCCAGTTTTTCTAACACAGGGCAGTGATTTCTCCCTGTAGGTACAGATGGTAATTTGCAGGAGATGTACCCTAATAGGGGAATAACTGTGGCTTACTGAAGGGAAGTGCATTCGTGAAATGACAGAACAGGTGCTGCCTAGCAGCCTTCTTACAGTCCAGGAAGCTTTGACTCTTCATGCGGGAGGCAGAGTAGAGATGTGTTTGGTGACCCAAAACTGAAGAGTATGTAGGGAGTACTGCATTATCATGATACATGGCTTTTCCTGGCTGACTGACCAAACAAGCTTAGCTTTTACCCTCGTGACATTCAATGTCCAGGAATACTCAGACTCCCTTCTCCATTAGTGGTTTGTTGGCATGCCGGTGTTGAAGCCAGTGTCTGTTGGATGCAGTAGATGCCTGGATTTTTAAACTAGAAATAAAGCCTGAGAAATCCTGTCTATATGTCTGTCCTTGTTTATCCTTCCAGGGCAGGAGTGAGGCATCCCATCCTTAGCTTGATGAAGTTGGGATCATGCAGTTCATTTCAGCATATAGCCAGAACACAGCCTGTTTCCTGGAGTAGAGCATGTCCCATATTCCTGACATAATGTCACCTCACTTGCTGCTGGGACCTAGGATAGACCCTCAGCTATAGGCAGTACCAGGATTATTGTGGTGCCAGTTTGCCATTGGTCAGTGCGTGTACTGTGAATGCAGAGATGTTCCTGACAGAGTCTGATAGTCTGTTTCTGTTGTTGTGACACTTCACACGCCACTTGAGGGTTTTGTGGTTACAGCTGGCTGGAGTGCCTTGGTCCATGCTGCCTTTAGACTCCTAGGACCTTGAATTTCTTTCTGCACAACTCTGAAGAAGATGATGGGAAAATATGGGAAAATAAATATATATATATGTAAATATATAGATATGCAAATAATAGATGAGCTGCAACAGGAATATGGTTGGGTGTGTGTATGTGAATGTTGGGAAATAAATTGAATTTACATGGGAGAAGTTTGGGTAGAGGTTGAGGAAACAATCAGATTAATCTCTCTTCATTTCCCCAGAAAAGGATCCCATCGTGCTGAGCGGCAGCCTGCTTGTGAAGTCACTACCTAAAGAGCTGAACTTCGAAGTATTCTGGGTCTCTTTTTTTCCTTAGATATGTTCTAGCATAAGCATGTAGGAGTCTCATCTGGTAGTCCACATGTAACCTCTACTGCATCTCTATCACCCTTGTATCCTTGCTTGGTGGGGTAATTTGCAATCTTAATTTATGATAGAGAGGACTTCTAATGTCAAAATGGTACAACCCTCCGGGATTTTATATTTACATACTTCCCTTGTACACAAGGTACAACTGCTTCTGGGACAGAGGAGAGGGCTGTCAGAAATCTATGGCACAATAAAAAGCAGCGCAGTTTCCCTGTGGAAATTGTGGGGGGAATTTTGGAAGCCACAGGAGTAATTATTGCATTGTAATTCATTTCTTAGTGTGCTGTGTAATCTGTGCTGACCAAGACAAGCCAGGCCCTTGTAGTCTAGAATAGTTTCACCAAAAATGACAGCTCTAGCTTCACAGAACATCCAAGTTTCTTTCCAGAACCTCAGTCTGGAAGTGATGTGATAAGTACGTTCAGTGTGGTGAGTTATCAGCATAGCTTTCCACAGAAACGTGTTGGGAGGGCAAGGGTCAAGTGGGGTGTGTTGGATGATTTCATTAAATGTTCTCCATCAAAAGCCTTGCTTGCCACTGATCTTCAGTGGATTTGAAATTTACAGTTCCTGTACTAAAACAGTGACATACAAGAGTGGAGGAGGGCAAATCTTCCAGCAGCTTTTCTGTCCTCCCTTTTTATGCTGCTTGTTCCAGAGGTAGCTGAGCCAGGTAATGATAGCAGCTAATGGATTCTAGAAAAGGTAAATCTGGCTCCCAAGTTCCTTCTTCAGTCCATGGCCCCTTCCTCCAAAGCCACCATTAGCATAAGCTTTCCTCCTTGCTACTCACCTCATTTGCTTTGTTTTGTAGAGAAATCACTAAGGGTATTTTGACACGTGTTTCAGTTTCTGCCCAGTGAAATAGCCAGTACTATCAACATTAGCATATCTGAGCAGTTGTGGTTTTGTTAATTTTACACCAGAGATGTAGTTGTTGTCAAAATTTGGGGAAGTTTGGGTTAAGCACCTCAGAAGTAAATGCCACACATTGTTAATGGTGTTTGAGCATTTCATAGCAGCCTAATGGTTTTCATCGATATCATCACCACATTGCAGCTGACGGAGTTATTACATGCTTAGGCTTTGAGACATCTTCTACAGAAGAAGCTATCTGTGGCGGAGCCTGAAGGAAAGCCCAAGGAAGTGTTATGAGATGCACTTCTTGTATTGTCTGTGTTTCAGTTCTGTATTGTTAAAATACTGAACTGTGAATTTTGCTCTAATGTGAATTCCTATCAACAGCCTCAACCAAAAAGATCCATGTTGGATTAGCCTGAAGACCTGGACTCTTGTGCTCTTACAGGAGTCATCAGTGGAAGACTGGCTCTTTTTGTGCAAGACAGTAGATGCCAGGTTTGGGCAACAGCTTCTGTGTTGGGTGACAGGTCTGGCAGTTTGGGTACTTTGTCTTAGTGTAGGAGCTAATGGCTAAAAATGGATAACTATTTTGCAAAAGCTGACACAACCGCTTATCCCTGTTTCAGTGTTCTTTCTCTAAAAATGAGCAGAGAATATTTCAAAACATGCAAGAAAGATTTTGGACACTGAATAAAAACCTGTCGTTAACAATTGTGGTTACTCTTTTCTAGGTCCTGTGTTTAATGTCTCGGTGCATTCTGACAACCCGACAGTTTACCAGGGTGAAGTGGCAGATTTGTGGTGTATTGTCACAACAGAAGGAATGGCACTTGAACAAGGTATTTTGTCAAAATTATTTTACTTGTAACTCATTTACCTTCACCAAGTAGAATAATGCCATCAATAACAACCCTGTGTCCTTTAAGTGAGGCTGGAGAATGGACAATCAGCATTGAAAATCCTGTAGAACTCAATAAATACAGGAGAGCATGTTTGCTTTACACAACCCAATTTAAAACAAGGGGGTTTGTTCCACTTTCTGAGGGGACGGGCAGAAGGTGTTCTTGCAGCTAAATCCCTCTGTGCTATCTGTGCCAACTGACCTTACTGCCGGCAGTCTCAGCCTACAACCACTAAGGCTGTGAAAACTATTCCTGTTTCCCTTAATGGGAAAGGAATTGTCAAATCCTCTTGGAAGAAAATGGTCATCTGTGAACAAATCTTAGTCATTTGGCCAGTCAGCTTCATAATTCAGAGTTAATTTAAGGCTTAATGTATAACTAAAAATCACAATAATTGCTGCAGCCTAAATATTAAAAATGAATGTTTATTGCTGATGCCTTCAGAGGTAAGCATCTTTTTTTTTTGTGGAAGAAGAAACAAGGTGCATAATTGCTATGAAAAATATAGCAGACACTTTAAAGGCAAATTTTTTGAAGAGCTGAAAAGTTCAGAGAATTTCTCAATACCTAGCTGCTTGCCAATCATAGCCTTGAGCTGCTTTTCATCACAATGCTGTGACAATAACTACGGTTATTATACCTAAGTTCAGAGAGAGATTAGGTTTTTTTTTTAAGTCATTCCCTTTCTCTCTATATATATGAATATAAAAACCTATTTAAAATCTATAAATATATATGTAAATATAAATATATATACCCAAATAAAAATGTCGTGATTCATGTAAAACTTAGAAATCTACACATAAACCATGTGCAGAAAATATTACTTACAATGTAGTAGCTGATGAGATGAAGTACCAAGCTTGATAAAGAACCATCACTTTCAAATTCCCTAGGTGCCTGTTTTGCATTAAATCTGAGTCTAGTGGGGAAGCAATTTGCCAGATTACAGTTCTGTGCTGCCTGTGAAAAAAATTGTAGAAGTCCGTAGATTGTATTATTGAAATGCTTGGTAGGGAGAAAAAGGCTGAGTAAACTTTGTCAAAAGATTCATAGCCTGGGATACTGGACACAGTAAGCAGCGTTGTATCCCTGTACCTGTGCCTCAGTCTGTCCCGTGGCTTCTGCTCAGCAGGAAGCTTCTTCTAAGTTGAGGTGTGCCCAAGCTTTTACAGGTACTGTTGTAAGGCAGTACTCAAAATGGCTGGCTTCCTTTGCAAAACACTAATTGCTGGCAGGGAGCCGCTGCTGCTTCTGCTGGTGCTTGATAGCTAAAGTAAGCTTAGGGTTGCCTTGTGAAAGAGGCCTTAGCATCCCTGACTCACTTAAAACTTGAAAAGAGGCTACTTAGTAACAGTGGGGCTCTCAGTGCTCTGTTGCATTTGGGTTTGTAATTGGTTTTTGTGTGTTTGGTAGCTTGAGGTGGGGAAGAAGTACTGACAAGGTAAGAATAATCAAAAGGATCAAAGTAAAAAGATGTCCTCTGGAAGTAGTTGCTCACAGCACAATTACCTTTTAACTGGACAGCTTTGTAAGGGTTTGTGGTTGTCTGTTGAATTGATGGATGATGCCTAGACTTGGAAATGATGCTGTTTCCAACACCTGCAAGCAGCCAGTGCAGAGTTTTAAATGTCAGCCCTGCAATCTGTTCCATAAATGGATAATGTCATCTCAAACATGGCAGATGCCTTGCCTCTTTGTGGTTTTGGCGAGTGGTGGGAGTTGATTCTGTTTGTTTTGTGTTGGGTTTTTTCTGGGTTTGGGGTGTTTTTTGTGGGGCTGTTTGGGGTGGTTTTTCATCTGTAATGGAGCAGATGAGGCATAGGCAACAGATATGCCTGGAATTAAGTGTAGTGTTATGGCAGATTTTGAGGGAACCTTTCAGTCCATGCTCCGAGCCTCCAGTTGCTGAATGAGCAGGATTTGGGGCCTAACCAGCCATTCTGTGCAGAGAACCCCTATCTGTACCTTTCCCATGGGCCTGAGAAGCTGACCTCTCTCCTGTTCTTGCTAGTCCTCTGGATGAGACTGGCAGAAGAGCTGCAGGGAACAGCTGGAATCTGTGAAACAGCTGTAGCATGCTCAGATTTCCCTTGTCAGTCTAACTTCTTGTCCTTGAGCTATAAATGGTACTAGAGCAGTGGGATAATGGAGCAGGTTAGGTGAAGGACCTTAAGGGCTCCTATGATAACAAACAGATGTAGTTCCTCAGTAGTTCCTTATTCCCCTTTATCCCATCTTAGATCTGTCTCTGTGCTGAGTCAGTATCACAATTTAATTCACAACTAGAATGGAGAGCTGGCTTTTTAAATTAGTGTGAAAATAACAGGGGCTGTCTCATTCCAGAGGGAAAATGAGGCACATTGTTAGGGAAAGCCTATACCAGGTATTTGCATAAACAGAGCAAGAGTTGCCAGCATCTCCTAGAAAACAGATGACAGGAGTACAGACATGGTCTTTCCATTTGGGAATGTGGTGAGAAAGGAGAGCAGAGCAATTGCATTTGAATATGAGTGGGCAAGATGCCTTTCAAAGGCCATCTGCTCTTCTGGTGCAGGGCTGTGTTTTGGGCCCCTCTTTTGAGCAAAGAAGGATCAAGGAACTTGATAGGATATCTTGTTTAATGCACATCCAGAACACTTTGAGCACAGTTGGTATTCCAGCCAGCTCTGCTCTTTTATACATAAGCACTCAACTTTGCAAGCATGTATGTGGATCAGTATGTATGCTTCCTGTAATAAGCTGAAGTGTCAGGTGCTACCTCTTCTCTCTTGCATACACAATCAGAAAAATAAAGAATTTCCAAGGAGCTGAGGAAAAGTTAAATCACCTATTGTCATTGTCAGTGCCCTTCTTTACTGCAGTTAGATTGATCCATTTGTTTCTAGAAGTGTTACTTATGGGTTGGACTTTTGTCTGGTAGAGGTAATTCACAATACTCTGTGTGTGTTTCTGTGTACCCACCCTGTGGGAAACTTTCAAAAGGATGGGAAAGGTTTTGGCATGACTGCTGTGTGCTTTAATTTCCTCTGCTTCTTTGAGACCCTGCTGAAATGGAGTGTGCATTACTAAGCTCAGTACATGACAGCAACCTCTCCATCTAACGAAGCGCTTCTTTGGCTTGGCAGCTGTGGTTGGTGTTTTGAATTCATATGAGAGGAATATGTGGGTGTCCGGGGAATAGTAGTTCTGTGTCTTGAAGATATAAAAGCTGCTTCTGATATTTCTGTTGAATACACATTTTCACAAATGATCTCTCTAGACTTCCCTGATCACCCCTTCTTGGGCTATGTGCTTAGGGATTTAAAAGTTTTAGTTATTGTGCCTGAAAGGAGATGGTTGTTTTTATCTGCTCCAGACAGATGCAGTGGGCACTCTAGAGAATTTAACAAACCCAGCTTGTTCACCTGTTGTATGGCTTGAAGTGGTTTCCTCAGCTGTCTAGGAACTCCTATTCAACCTCATTTAAATGTATTAAGCAAAAAGGGTCTCAAAATTGTGATTCAGTACTGTAACAAGATGCTGAGAGAGCAGTGGAAGTGAATGGTTTCTGAAAGCTGGTCTAGAAACAGGATTCCCCATTTTGAGGAGTGATTGGCCAGGGAAGCAGCTAAGACCCAGACAGCTTAGTCCTGTGTGTCAAATTGAAATGTGCATAAGGATGTGCTTTACATGTTGATGATCCTTACTAACTGGGGAGGGGAGGAAGCATAGCGTCACTATTACTCTGCTTGCAGAGCTCTGAAGGGTCCAAATTCTGGTGCTTTTTTCTTTATGAAAGGAGCTAAGTTGCATGACCTGAGGACACTGAGTCCTTGATGGCCTTCTGAGCTTGGCACTGGGTTGTTATCCTTTCCTGTAATATGGGGTATTTTGTCCAGATGCCTTATAGTACTTTTAACATTGTAGAGCGTGGAAGGAACCAGTGAAAGAAACCTTTGTAGGGTTAAGTGTGAGTGTGGTTCTTGTGGTTTGGTTTGGTTTTGTAAATCTGGGACAAAAATTGTGAGAGTGACTTGTCAATGTTGATGCAAGGTGTGTGTAGGATGCTGCAGATGCTTTTGGGAAACCTAGTGTGTGACCTGTTTTATGTTAGTAAAACTATATTTATTATCACTTGAGAGATGCTAGGCATGTTCATCACTGATCTTTAGAGAGCACCTGATTTATGTCATAGGTTTGCTAAGTTTTCTGTGGTTTTATTGCATGAAAACCAGAGATATATTGAAGCAAATCAGATGACTTTGCTGTATTAAGCTATTTCAAGGAGGATAGCAACTTGGAGCCAAATCCTCCCTCTAACTGTCTGTAGTGAGTCACTAATTGCACACTATGTATACTGACTAATAAAATATGTTGGCATAATACTGTTGTCCCATATTGTAATTACAGAAGATAGATTCAGCTATTTCAAAATGACAGCAAGTGCCTGCACTTGTCTCTGTATGTGGAGGGAAAGGAACCTCAAATTAATTGGAACTGAAAAGAAAGAATTCTTTAGAGATAGCAAGTTGCCTGGGAATCTGAAGGCTAGATTATTTCTTTTTATATCTAGACTTATTGTTTAAACCTTTTTTAGCCTGTGCAATGGTATATTCAGGACTTGGCCTGAAAGGTGTCTATAGGCTCCTATGGTATCTGGAAATACAAGAGCTCATGGCAGTCTTGATGATCTTTGGAAGGTACTGGTTGTTCCCAAAGTGCCTGCCTGTGGACCGGTGTTTTATTACCGTATTTGGCATAAACAGGCAGCATAAGAAAGAATAGTTTATAGAAACGGAGCTCTCTCCAGTAAAGGCCCCGTTTCCCACAGATGGTTGGATGAGTACACAAAGCAGAAGTCAAAGTTTGGTCCTGTTAACTGAATATATGTTTATGGTAATTTTTATTAACATCACTTTCAAGAGAAGGCCTATGCCAAGTAACCAACAGTCGTATTTGTAGTATGACAGGCAAGAGTGATTGCTGTGAGGTCTGCTGGTCCACATGACTTACACTGACCCCTGTGTAGGACTGGGAGACCTACTCCTGCTGTAGGGCTGCAAAATAGGCCAGGTGCCCTTTTGAGGCTCTGTGCTGTCGCCTGGAGCACCTGGCTAAGGCAGGAAGTTGGCTATTGTTCCAGAAATGAGCTTGGTCAGCCAACATCTCTGGTAGTAACAGCTGCTGTCTCACCTTTCTGTTTTGTTTTGAAGAAGTGAGTAAAACCAGCGCACCTACAAGAGAGTTGAGTGTACCCCGAACAGTGGGTAATTTTCTGTCTGCAGTAAAGGGGAATGTTCTGCCTGGCCAGCTGATGCTATACTTCACATAGCAGAGCTGAGGATGTCCCTTTACTTTTAAAATATAATTTTAAATTTCCCTTCTTTCCTGAAGTGTTAACTTGCCTGATAGAGGCTGAAAAATCATTTGCTCTTATACCTGTAAAGAATTTGAGTACAGCAGCAGGTTTGCAGCAGGTTTAGGGCTTTATTTTTAACATTAGCCTGGAGATCAAATCTGAAAGTTCAGAGAAGAGCAAGCTCAATATAGAAAAAATATAAGTTTTAAGTTTCAGGTTGCTAAAACTGTATTTTTCAGAGGTCTCAATAGTATCAAATGGAGGTTTGATACATCGCCAGAGTCACTGGGGACTGCCTTTAGTTGTGAAAAGGTCAAGCCCTGTGTATGCATTCTACCAGTACCCAAACCTCAGGATAGAAATAGTAACCTCTGTTTCCAGTTTGGGCCCTACAGTTTGCTAATGTATCAGGAAAGAAGACATGTTGATGAAACGAGTGAGCAGCCTCTCCTGTCTATGCCCTAAGTTATGCCAGGATTCAGACTCTGACGCATGTTGCTAGGCTCATGTTAGCAAAGAATAGCACTGGCTTTTAAAGTAAGTACTCTGCTACATCAGCCTAATAGGGTTAAGACTGAGGTCTGCTAAAGGGGTCAATAGGATCTGTATGGATGTTGGAAGAGCTAGATGTGCTGATGAACTCTGACTACCTGTCAGCTTTGTTAAACATGGAAGGTGTTGCAAATGCATTTTGTAGATTCTCCTTGGGTGGTAAAAATTGTACAAGGCATAATGCCTGATGATGTGTGACAGTAACTCACAACTCTGAAAAAAAAACTTTATAAAAACATCGTGGTCAGGCCTTGCTCCTGAATACTTAGTGTTTTTGTAAGTAATTTTTTGTGCTCTGTCTAGAATCTCTGTATTCATTTAGGTAGACCAAATGTAACGAAGGGGCCTTCAGCAAAGAGCCTTCTGACTTTTGTTATATAGGCCCTGCATGAAGATAGTGATTGCAAATACTTAGGACTTCCACTCCCATTTCACTGTAGGTTCAGCATAGTTCTAGAACTGCTTATGACACTATGCCTGCTTGGTGAAAACTTAGATCAGAGATTAAACATAGGTTTTAGGATAGCAAGTAGGAAAGGAAGAAATCTCCTCTTTGTTGTCCCTGTATTAAGTCACCCTTTCTGTGCAACTGCATCCTTCCTGCCAGTGCATTTCATTGCAATTCACTACTTGAATCCTCCTAGAAAGGACATGTTCAGAGCATTCTCTTTTTCTTCTTTTTCTTTCTTTCTTCCACTGTCAGACCAGTGTTGCCTGAAAATGACACTATGAATACTTTTCAGAGCTCACCACCATGTCTAAATTCATTTTTGTCCTCAAACACAGATGATACGTCCTTTGATGTTTCCTGGTTTGCCGTGCACTCCTTTGCGTTGGACAGAGAGCCCGTCTTGCTGGCCTCACTGGACCGAAGAGGGATTGTGACACAGAGCAGGAGAAATGGGAGCAGTGATCTCAGCCTGGAGAGAATCAGCCCATTAGAATTCCGTCTCCGTGTGCATGGCTGTGAGGACCATGACTTTGGGAACCACTACTGCATAGTGACTCCGTGGGTGCGATCTGCCACTGGTGTATGGCAGCGGGAACCTGACATCAAAGCCAAACCCATTTTTCTATCTGTGAAAATGGATGGTAAGAGATTCCAACATGTCTTACACAGTCTCTTTCTTTTTTAACACCTTGTTATGCCTTTCTCTGAAAAATATTTCCTATGACTATTTTTAAAGGTCCCTATGATAATCTCAGATTTTGTTACTCTTTTCTTTTGTTTGCAACTTCTGATTCCAGATTCCGTAGACTAGGTAGGCCTGAACAGATCACAGTCGCAAGACTGAAGTGTTTTCTTTCCTGATCATTTCCTGGTGATGTTTTGCATAGCTGGGGCATCTTTTAATCAAGGCATAATATCCTCTTCAAGTGTTAACCCTTTGGTTGCCTGCATGAGGAAGCCTAGGTTTGCAGATGGGGTGTGCTGAAGTAGTTGTGTTGTGGTTAATGTCAAAACTGAGAACAGAAAGTCAGACCTCTGACTCCTTCCTCCCTCTCCTAACCACATGACATGCTGCTCCCTGCACTTAATACCTTGTCCGCTTTCTAGTCTGAGTTGCAAGAGTTGCTGGACTTCATAAGAAGCAAGTTGCACGCTAGATGCTGCATTCAGCATGTAGCTAAGGAAGATTAATGCAGGAGGGGTTCTGAACTAGTTGCTTTCTTCTCAATATTTCTGTGAAATGTCATATTGGGAAGTTCCATGAACTTGAAAGGAATCAAAAGTTTTATTCTCCCTATTGTGTAGCTAACTATGATAGCTGTACTTTCCAGACTCCTTACAGTTCTTGACCCTGCCTTTGTCTGAGCAGTAGGTGCTTGCAAATCAAATTTTGTGTTTAGGTACCAACTTTGGAGGTTGATTAGACAGGGTTGTAAGTGGCAGCAAATACGTTGTACAAGTAGTTCTCATCAAGCAAAGCATAAATGAATCCTCCTTGTCATTTGGAAACAAACTACAAAGAGTGCAGCCACAGTCTGCCTCTGATGAGGGAAGCTTACAAGGCTTTTGTTTGGAGGAAGAGGTGATGGGGCACCCCTTGGAACTAGCTCTGCTTTGCTATCTCACTCCAAGGCTCCTCATGCTTCCAGCCTCCCTGAGGCTTTGAAAGGATAGAGGAAGAAGTGGTAGAGGAAGAGCAAGGGTGAGGAAGTAAGGGAGTCCAATAAAACTAATTTTCGAACCTCAAAAGAAAATCGGTGTAATTTCTCTCTGAAATAATTAATGTGCCCATAAGTGAATACTGTGGGATTTATTTATTTGTTTTTGTTTTTAAGGAGAGAACAGAAATCTCTGAATTTCTCTGTGATATCTAATGATGTTGCCTTCCTCTTTCAGTTTTGAATGCTTTCAAGTATCCCCTGTTGATTGGCATTGGTCTGGCCACTGTCATTGGACTCTTATCCTGCCTCATTGGCTACTGCAGCTCCCGCTGGTGCTGCAAGAAGGAAGTACAGGAAACAAGACGAGAGCGTCGCCGGCTAATGTCAATGGAGATGGACTAAACATGGAGCCAGACACACTTGTATTTTGGGAGAGACTCAAAGGGCTCTTGGACTGTGCTGAGACACTTGCCCACAGGCCCAGAGAAGACAGTGCATTTCCTCTCTGATTGCAGCTTGGACCTCAAGCTTCTCCTTGTTACACATCATGCCCTGAGAGCATTCAGGCCATATGTAGCAACTTGGAATTCTCCTTTTCCAGCAGCACTTTCTGCACAGGAATCGTGTCCTTCTAATGTGCAAACTGTTGAGTCTTCTTTCACCGGGGCCCTGTGACAAAATTCACTAAGGTTTTTCTGTTTGTTTGATTGGTGGGTTTTTTCCCCTCCTCTTGGTTTTGAATAGATGTATGAAAATGTGATGGTCAGGGTGACAAGTGGGAAAAGAGCTGGTAAAATGTCAAATTTTCATTGTATTAACCAATCTACTTTTCCCTTCCACCCCCATCACACCATCCTGTTCCCTTCCTCTGTCCACCTTGGTATCTCACAGACTTCTCTGTGCTGGGTTGAAGGCTGGAGAAGGTTCTTCTTCTAGTTTCTCATGAAGCTGTTCCAGCAACAAATTGGTTTTCTGGTTGTCTGCATGCCTTCTCTACCCTGGCTTTAAAGGGTTTGCAACATAACATGCCTAGAGATCTCTGGGACACTTCTTTTTAAACTTATTTTTTTCTTTTATTTTCAGTGCTTAAAGCTCTTGGCAGTGAATAGAGGCTAACTTGGCAACCCTGAAAAGTCAGTCCTGAGACAAGGATTTGTTGGCTGTCTCCTTATGGCCACCTTCTCTCACCTTTTCACCTTTTTCTTTCCCATTACAGCTGCTCATTTTGTGCCTGAGACCCTGTTCTGCTTGTGTAGAGGGGCATGTGGTATCTAGAAACAAGGCCCAGCCTTCTGCTGGCCTTGGTGGAGAGCTTGGAAGACCTTGCCCCTAGTGATGGTGTGACTTATGGGGGAGGAGGAAAGAGGTGGATCTTTGTCTGCAGTTGGTCCACTGATAGTGATTAGATAAGACCTGTAATCTATGTGTTACCAGATGCACAGACCAGACTCCAGTGCTGCTTCTTCCAGTCACTCAGTGGTAACACTTGAACCTGTGGGCAGAATCTGAGACCTGCAGTAGCTGAAGTGCAGCTCAGGGTTGGAATAGGAGAAAGCCCAGGAGGGCAGCAAGAATCCCTCAGCTTCCAATGGTCCTCATTTTCTGCACAGGCCTGCAGCAGGGCTTTCAGCATGGGTTTGAGACATATTCCTAGGTGCTATAGTATAGAAGTCCTTTGTTCTTCCATGCATACTGGCTTGGCTTCTGAGTTGGAGCAGCTCCTTTTCAGGGCAGTTCCGTCTTCCCAGCACAGCTGGTGTTACAAGCAATAGAAGTCAGAATAAAGATATTTTATGTAAACAGGCAAGGAAGTAGGACTGCACCGCAGTCTGATGTCCCAGCCAGGGCTTGGCTTTGCATCAAGAAGGGTCAGAAATGTAGAGCTGAGGCCAGAGCTCAATCATTCCAAGATTATTTTGTTTTTATTTAAGATAAAAGATGCTGAAGGAGAGCATCCATGGAAAATAGTGTCTGTGGTGTGCTATTGCCAGTCTAGACTTTAGTTATGTATTAGACAATCTGGTTCACTAATAGCTTTTCTCACTGTATATTCCAGGGGAGCTGGAGGGTTATTATTTGTGCTATGAAGGCTTCATTTTGCAATAGTGTTTGTGGGACCTTGCACTCAACACAATAGCTATTACAAAACTGGAGGTTTTGGAGTAAACTTTGTGTGTATTTTGGGTTGTTCTGGTTCCCCCCCCTCCCTTGCATTGTGACCTTTGTTCTGACATTGACATGAGGCTTTTGTCTAGAAGGCTGTTCTGCTTCCTGTATGTGAACATGCATGCTGTCACGTATGTACACATATGTATGCATAGAGGTGTCCAGTGATTTTTGGAAGCTGAACATGAGGCATCTTCAAAATAGATTAGATTTGCAGAGTTGGGGTTTGCAGCTTGTCATTTGACTCTTTAAAGACACTTGATGTAGTATTCCAAAACTGGTACACCCAAAGTCTATCCTCTGAGAGACTTTTGCCTGAACATTCATAGCAACTTTTCTTTCTGACCTGATGTTTTGCTTTCTGAAGGAGCTCTGAAAAGGCCTATACTGGAGGCAGATGTAGCTGCCTTTGCTGAGCAACAGAGCAGAACCAGTATCTAGCTTTTGATGTGAAGGCCCAGAAATCTGTAGCAATGCTTTCCAAAGGAAGGGAGTTGAGGAAAGGATTCACTTGGATATTGCATAGACAGAAAGATTTTTTTTTTTCTTCCTCTCCTGTTTGTCTCTTATAGTGAAATCTTGCTTTTTCCTTCTTGCATTAAAAATTGCTTTCTTCACAGGAGGCCTGTGGCATTGGGGCATCTTGGGAGGGACATAGCAGTGGTGAAGTTTGAAGCACAGCCATCTGTTGATTTCTTACTCCTTGTTTATGTGCCCTTGGTTAAGTTTTAGGGAGAGAGGATCATGACCATAATGCAATAATTAGGGAATGAATGAGCAGGGAACTGCCAGCTCTTCCCAAGCACACAACGTAGCACACTTTCTCCCTGCTGGAAAAACTCAGGGTTATTTTGGTCAGGGCTCCCTGCTCCTCTAGTGAAAGGTCCCAATGTCCTTAGCTAATGCTGACCTTCCTTCATGGCCTGTAACAAACCATCATTGTCATTCTAAGTGAAGCAAGTTTGCTGCTAGCTCATACTGCTGCCAGCCTCTTGGAAGGCAGTGTTGCATCCCCTTCTACCCTGTGTTTGCTGTAGTTGGAAGGCTAGAAGCTGAGGGGCTAGACTTACCCACACCAGGTTTCCTTCTACTTGTGCCAATTTTCTATTATCCCACTTTTTTTAAATAGAGTGGAAATCTTACCTCTAATGAAAACAAAAATCTAGGTCACTTTTCATGTTATTATTATTTCCTGTGTGACCAGGGTTTGTGTGAGTGGAGGTGTGTGTGCATCTGGTGATGTATTAAACCTGCAAAGTATCATAAGAGTAAGCTGCCTGAGATGCAGTGCAAGCATCCATATTTTCCTGCTGCAACCTGTGGTATTGTCAAAGTCTCCTAAGGGCTCATGTCTTCCTCTGTTCACATTGCCACATCTTCTGGTTAAGCTGGTAAATTCCTCCAGGCACTTGGAATTTTGATCCAGGACAAGCTTGAACATCATCTAGCAGAAGGGCAAGATATTTTCTTTCTTTCATTTTAATTTCAAAGTTATAAAATAAAGTGTTCGGCACAAATCTGGAATGCAGGTACTGAATAGTTCTGACAATGCTGTGTACAATGTTTCTTTTTATGTTTAAAATAAAGAGCGAGCCTTTTTAATTACGTCTGTCCTGTGGGCCAAGATGTTTGAGCTATGGCAGTTCTTTTCTTGGACCTTGCATGTACGCAGACACTATTGTTGAGGCAAGGGTATCAAATGTAAACCTTACAGCCCTGTTTCCAGCACTGTTTACCCTGTAAAATAAGCATGAGTCCTATTTTGCAGTAAGTTTTAAGTATTTCTCTATGTTTGTGTGATGAATTGGGGAATGTAATTGTTTTGAGTCTCTCCTATTTCCACTCCACTATATATATTTTGTTGGGGGAGTTTACTTTTGATTACCTAGGGCCAGGAGTCACTTTCCCCACTTCTACATACTCACCATGACACCATATGGTCTAGGATATCGCTTTGGTCAGTTGGGGTCAGCTGTCCTGTCCATGTCCCCTCCCAGTTTCTTGTGCACCCCCAACCTATTTGCAGTTGGATGGTGTGATAAGAAGAGGCCTCGAGTCTGTGTAAGCACTACTCAGCAGTAACTAAACCATCTCTGCATTATCAACACTGTTTCTAGCACAAATCCAAAGCATAGTCCTCATACCAGCTACTGTGAAGAAAATTAACTGCATCCCAGCTAAAACCAGCATACTTGCATTCCAACAGGAAGTTGCTTGAGGCAGAAGTGGTTTGGGAATGCCAGGAGAGGTTTTGGCAATCTGGGTTTGCGTTCAAACTAGAACATGCTTTGCCTGAGATGGCTGCAGTGCAGGCCAGTTGACATCAAAGTTTGTGGCTTCTTTCCAGATGGTGGTGGTGTGGCAGGCATGGAAAGATGTCCTCTGTAAACTGTACTTACGGGAAGCTGGGAGGTGGCACTAAGCTGTAAATTCTTATGGGGTGACAGGGACCATTAGCTGAGAAAGTGTCATAAATCGTGTCTGATCTCCCAGCAGAGCCTCTGTCAGCTGTAGATGTTTAATGCATACATGTACATGAGTAATGAGTGGCATGCTTGTGGGACAGCAGTCATTGGCCTCTACCTGTGCAGGTTACAGCTTACTGGTAAATTTGGATTAGCTTTATGAAATCCTCTTGCCTCCCTGACCCTTCTGGAATGACCTAGATCTTAATACTGTTCTTGTCAGTGTGGTAGGATTTTATCAGAACAAAAAAAAAAAGGGACAAAACTTGAAGTCTGGAGATGAAGTGGGATACTTGCAAGTAGCTGCCCGAGTGTTGCAGTGAAAGATGGCAGCTACCAAGTGTCCAGCATTGCCTTGTATCTGCTATGGGTTCAGCTCAGCTACCTGCCTATGAAGGAGGTATCTAGCTGCCTACTGCCATAGAGGCAGTCTGAAAAGTACTTTTGTGCCAGAGACTGAGAGTTTAGTTCCTTCTATAGCATCAGGCTCAGGCAACGTGCTTGGTTGTGCCTGTTCTACAGCAGAGCCTACTTGTGCTGTGATGGCTCTGACTGACTGCCTTGCTTGGGTCAGGGCCAATTCTGAAACCTCTGCTGGGCTGAAGCTGACTGGTGTCGAGTAGGATGCATGAGAAGACCTGCCTCCTCTGTCATCTGAAGGTGAAGCCTGGTCATGCAAACCTTCCAAGGAAGCATATGGCTTTTACCTTTTCAGTGTAACTTTCTACATTTCTATGATTGTAGGGAACCAAGATCTGCACAGCAGGTATCAGGAAGTTGGTGTTTCAAGAAACAGCCTTTAGCAACTGACTGAAGACGTGTGATATACTAACTGAATAAAAAGTCACTGCTCATTCTCGTGCAAGGTAAGTACACCATGAATGCAGCATGTAGTCTTCTATCGGACAGCCCTTTGCCAGGAATCTCCTATTACTGAGGAATCATAGAATCACATAGGTTGGAAAAGACCTTTAAGATCAACAAGTCCAACCATTACCCCAGGATTGCCAAGACCGCTACGGTTTAGTAGGGAAAACACTAAACACTGAGGGAGAACAGCATTAGGCTGTAGGCAGCCCATGGTTGGTGCTGAAAGCTCCAGGGGAATGCCTGGGTTATTGAGGAAGCA